TCATAAATCAATAAAGGTTGAAAAGTATTCGACACATTGGAACAATTACTCAATTATACGAGAGAACAATCATTAAGGATATAAATTTCAATAGTCAGGAAATAGGCAAGTTAATAAAAAACTAGTGACGCGCAAAAAAATACTGACCGTCTGAGTGGCTCAATAAAAGTGGTGACCGAGGGAATGATGCGGTCAAGGAGAGATGTATAAAAATGAGACTTCTCTTTCATTAATTTATCAGTAGATTCTGAAAGATTGTTGACTTCTTCCTGTTTTGATTTTAGAGAAATATGTTCGATAAGGCTGCGCCAAGTGAACCAGCTCTCTACAGAATTCTTGTCAGGTTTAATGACATTTCTAGTGCCAGACAAAAAAATAAAAAAATACTTAAATGAATCGACTAGAAGTGAGACAATTGGTGTATACATATAAGCAAGCAAAATATCAATAAAAATATGAACGGCAAAAGTCAATATCAGAAATAAAGCCAAATGACATTATTTAAAATAGAATTCGAATAAGGGGAGCTAAGAGAGAATATTTACTGGTCTGTGAGGTAATTATTTGACCATGTGTTAACCATCTCACGAAATGATTCCTCTGAAAGTTCACTAAATAGATTATCCAAGCATAATTGACTCGTCTCGGAAACTCCCTCGGTATCAAGTCGACGAAGTAGAAGCACAGGATCGCTGTCAGTTGCTTGGAACCATGAGATGACAAGCTTGCGCGCGGCAGCACGGACATCAACTAAATGCATAAAATATAAGAAACGAAAAAATAGATAAATAAAAATTACATTGAACTAGTGAGGATGTGTAAAATAACAAAGTGCAATCAAACGGAAAAATAAGGATAATTTAAGAAAGTTTCGACCTTAAATCAAATAGGTGTCATAGATTTAAGAAAAAAAATTAATGTTACCTGATCTGTCTGTCAAACCGAATTGCAAAAGCTGAATTCGCTTGGCGATAGTCAAAGGTCGCAAAACTGATCTTGCAGTGAATATAGTGAAGACAGTTTTACGAACATTATCTGCGACATCACGATGCCTCTCAAACACGACAGGAAGTGTGCGTGTGGTTAATATCATGGCAACTAGGGCTGCTCTACGACCTTCAGGACTAGTATCATGACGCGCTAACCAAATCAAGGCATCTACAACTGGACAGGCTGCATCAGAAGGATCCTGGAGTCTTGCAAGAGCTGACATAGCTTGGACACGAACAGCAACCTGCGAATACATAATTGATTTAAAATTTAAGATAGCGTATGCGAAAATTCGTCATAAGTTTCAG